TAGATTGATAGATTGATAGATTGATAGATTGATAGATTGATAGATTAATAGATTGATAGATTGATAGATTGATAGATTAATAGATTATAGATTAATAAATTAATAGATTAATAGATTAATAAATTAATAGATTAATAGATTAATAGATTGATAGATAGATTAATAGATTGATAGATTGATAGATAGATAGATAGATATTAAAGAGAGTGGTATAACTAATGCTCAAAGGGTTGGTGAAACAAGACGTCGCGGGGAATTCGATGAGTTGGATACAGATGGATCTGAGTGCGAGATGAAGGGTGGATGGGGTGGGGAAATCACAATGACGGGATAGCAACAGCAACAGCAAGCCAATGAAAAGATTTGATGGGACGGGAGTATGCCGACATAGGTGATGAAAGTGGAAAGGTTCAGGAATCAAGAAAATGAATGGCATCTCGGTATCTACTTAGTTTTTCCTTTGTGACTGGCTACTAACTCGTAAAATACCCATACAGCATCATCGTACAACTTGATACAAGGGAGGGGTTGAGGGGCATGGCCACAGAGAAAAGACCTATCTGGAAATTAAAGTGGTGAAGTCTGAATCGTTAGCAGCTTGCTTCATTACTCAGTAACCCGAAAGTAGCAAATCAAGTATACCCAACGGAAGTGAAGTAGATCCTCAAAAAAGTGGATGATGTTGAAGTTATGTGGTCATAATAGTTATTCCTTTCGGGAATTTATTAAAATTGTGAGACAATGGCCCTGAATCTTATGATGTGAAGTGCCGCAAAGCTTGACATGTAGAGAGCGGTGAAGATAGTGAAGCAGTGACATTCTACTTGCGGGAAGGCATCATATTGATTTGTTTACTCGAACGAACTATCATTGTTCATAGACTAGACGTACAGAGAGGAGAGTAGGTTATCATTGGGATTTCGGAAGAGGAAGATATACCTATGTATGTACCTACCTATGCATGTGTGTAGGGATGTATGTGTATGTGTATGTGTATGTGTATGTGTATGTGTATGTGTATGTGTATGTATACGTAAATGTATGTATATGTATAAGAATCTACGTAGCTACATATGTATATGTATGTATGTATGAGTTGTAATCATTAGTAATCATTAGTAATAGAGGGAGGATGAATGTATACCCACACACCGATCTGGTGATTAATTGATCTATCTCTTCATCACATTACCGGTAGAGATGAGACATGATGTGAGTGTGACGTGAATTTGAAGAGGAATCTCATTCATCGTCCCTCTGGCAGTCAATTTCAGACCATTACCCTAGTTTTACCTAAAATCTGTCCGATTTGGCGATTGATATCTTGGGAGGATGAGGGTTTTGATGATAAATTGTGAATTTTGAATCTTGGATTTTTGATATACATCGTATGCATGCGCACGAATTGAATGGTGGGTGTGGATAATAGCCTGGCTTGGTACAAGACATGGATCTTTGATACAAGCACTGCCAAATCAACGGTTTCCCAAAGAAGTGATGTGCATCGGGCATTTATTTATTTGTGTGCTTGGTAAGAAAATAGTTGCTTCTTTGAGAATTGACAAGCAATGCCTAGCGGAACATGCTGGGGGTTCAACAATCGTGGTGTATGATCGATATATTATGGTGGCGTGGTTGATACCCAATTAAATTTAAAAGAATGTGATGAAAATGATCCTTTGGGGAAAATGCTGCATAGGAATAGGAGGGCGTAAAGAGTGGAATTGAATGTAAAAAGGCTGATTTGAAAATTTTGCGAGTTTCGACTAAGTTAGACTTAATCTATCTCATGTCCTTCTTCATTAGAAATGGCTTAGATGATAAGATGGAATAAGCTCAGAGGAATCACTTCCTGCTCGAATGACTAGGTAGGGGAAACGAATATCATCACATCACATCACCTATTCCACACGCGTGTCTATACTCAGGTCTCACTACGAGAGCGAGTCGTGCGAGTACGTGTAGATATCATCAAGCTTCTAGTGGCAGTCATAATAAGCTTCAAAGTAACCCTCCGTTGCCCCTTTCATATCCTCGTTTCTAAAATCTCACCTTGAGTCTCCGCATTCACTGTCTGGAAGTATGACAGCATGAAGCAGCATAATCCTCGAGACGCTTTCGTTGCTTAGGATTTTGCTGCAGCGATCTGCGGACTGAAGTCAGTCAGTTTTTATCGAATAATGTACTTGATCCAATACATGAATAGCATAACATGAGTTGTGTGTGATATGATTAGTTAGAATATAATGGTAACTAATGGGAATCGATGTCGTGTAATTTCAAGTGTCTTTATCCAAACCTAGTCGCCAGTCTAACTCGTCTATTTAATCGTACCTACCAATATAAATGTATGCTTGTTAGATGCGAATGACCTCTGCTCTCTTCATGACCTCAACGCATCTCTCCACTTTCTATATCTGTATGTATGTATTTTCTTTCAAACTCAGACACTGCGACACCACTCTTTGACCGAAACATTTTCCAGTCTGCTGCAGATGCAATGATCGTCAAAGCAAGCTGCACCTGTCTTATGTGGGTGACAATTCTTCTTTACCGACTCCTCAGTGCTGGGACCTTTCTACTGCACCTACTGGGTACTCCCCATGCGTCGCTTTTAATTATGAAAATAATGGGGACACATTTGTTCCCGTGATTTCCTGGAGATGGAGTTTATCAAAACCTCCGAATGATTGGAGATCGTACGTTTGACTATCTAAATTGTCCGCTAATGACACCTTCGTTAAATATACTTTCACCAAATGAATGCTTCTTAAGTGATCACGACTTTTTACCCTACCCATCTTAGTTTATGTCAAAAGAAGACGATGGCTGAAAGACAAAAAAAGACCGTTACAGCCCTGCCGTTCCGCTCTGAAGCCGTTCACACTTACATACGATCAATGATCCGTGATGACTACACAACGGGTCGGTCCATCATGGCAACTAGCATGGTCACATTCCTGAAAACATCCCTACCGATCTCCTCCTACCCCTTCTTTCTAATGAAATTGGCCAGGACAAGATGCTCGATGGCTTAGACATGTCATTGTTAATCAATGTCAACCTGATCTCACTTCTTACCACCTAATCTACCTAGTCCACCTACCTGAATAGCAAGAAATCTCATCTGCCGTGTTACAATTTGTATCACACACACTATCTTCGAGGATCATTCGTTTACCACTTCCCCATTCGCCTTTGCGTTTTCCCAGGTATTGAATGGAATCGAGTTAGACGACTCCATTCCAAGGAAGCCGAACTAGATCATCTTCCTTTTGCCACTTTGTTGCCTTCATTCGCTGTTACACTAGCGTACCACTTCATTGACAATTACTCATAGAGTGTCTAGTATCTACAAATATCCTCAACGGGCCTCGGTTACCAATTATCTACTCCTTCACCATGCAGATTCTGATAATCCTTACCTCCACCCAAAAATCCTTGTTATTTTAATCGACATCCCTAACAAATGCCACGAGGAAAGTCTCTCCGGGATATTTTTTTATCCATTCTCATCCCTGATCGAATCATGGTCCTTCCATAGCGATTATCGGCCTAGCTTTGTGCAACACATAGCTTGCTGTGACCTTAAATTTTCTTTTGTCAAAAACTTCAAATTGATCATCGTGGTTGGAGTAATGTAATATTCAGGTAAGCAGCAAGGTAAGCTAAGCGTTATCATAACCGCTTTCAACGACCTACATGTTTACCAGACTTGATGATATTTGGTTCCAGCATACCCTACTATTTAGACCCCAGTTCTCATGTACTTGTATGGTTACGATGACGGATTATCTCACAAAACCAACAAATGATCATGTCTGCATGGCAGTCAGATCGGATATCGTGACAACAGTCCTTTACTCTCTGACAAACCGCGTACTCAAACCTCGGATCCCTCCTTTCCCTCCGCGGTCACTCAAAACCGACCTCCAAAAAGACGCATAATCAAATTTATAGTTAATAAGACGGCGGCAAGCTTCCGTAAATCAAGTCAGAGAAGATCCGGACCCCACTTTACAAGAACTTACACCATACAGGTACTCGTATACCTCTAGTCAGAACACGACGATATACCCTGATATTAGCACAATCAAGAATTTGAGGATAATCTTGGAATGAAGGAAGGAGGATAGGAAGCTGGAGATGGTGATTAATGACTCTTTGACCATTTTCTACTTTCATCTAAATCCCGTCTTTCAGATCCACGAACTATCGATAGGTTGGCTATGTCTCCGTCGTTTATCATTGAATCTCGCTCGCTTTTTTTAACCTAAGACGACTACACAGCCATTCAATCTTATGTGCCCAGCTACCTCAACTCTCTCCATGTCCACCTCTCGATGTCTAAGCATGATATAACAAACATTGGCATTCTTCTACACTGCTTGATGGAGACTAATCAAACATGTTCCGTCTTCCGCGAAAAGGCAAATATCTTGAATTTGTACCTCGGGCTTTCCAAAAGAATTTCCCGGTTAGATGTCGAACCTCTTCCGAACGTTTATTTTCAATGAGGCGTCAGATGAAATATACAAACTTAACTACTCTGTATAGTATACCACGCCCGATTCATCATTGTACCATTGTATCGTGATGCATCTGTCTGATTACACTTTTTCTTGTTAAAAATATCACATTAACACAGTATATCATAGACGGGTGCTATCTGTTTAAGAATTTCAATGTGATCCCTCATAGGAAGGAAAGTGCATTTGGGTCAGCTGTAGATATACCACCATATTATACAGAATCAACCCACATTTACCATGAATTCGAAATTCCCCAGTATTCTTCATCGTGAACCTTTCCCCTGGTTCAATATGGTCCCTCTCACATACCTTTCAGCCCAACGGTAGATTCTCCTAACCCCCCCCCCCCCCCCCCACTAAGCACATGTTCTCGAACCTATGGACCCATATACTATAACCTTTCAGGTAATCCCATCGTGTATTTAAGGTTTAAACCCACACTTGTATCTTTGCAATTTGCGATTTGCACGTTACTTTGCACACCCTGCCCTTCTTCAAGGATCCCTTAACCTTGTCTTTCCTTTCCACGGTACAGATCATATACAACAGACAGATGTAGATGGGCCGGGACCGAAAAACTTCAATGCTGATGGCTTGCTAGCTAGCTAAGTGGGCATCATCTACCAGTAACTCATATACGGAGTATTGCTTCTTCAGACAGACAGACAGATAGGCGGACATGATTTCTTGGCCGATAACTACCTAGTCAACTTCGACTTCCTTCTTTTGACGTTTTACTAGCTCAAGACTTACCCCCCTTGTCTGCTTTGGTTACAGCTCTTTGGTCCCTTCTTCTGTCGACGGCCACAAAACTAGGAGACTAGCAGATTAGCAGATTAGCAGATTAGCAAACTGGCTAAAAATCTTCTCCATCCATAACGATATACCGAGCCGTTACCAGCACATGCAATTATCCTTTCACTCTGCTACATTTCAAGTGTACTTCCGACTTGCTTGTTGCAATTCCTATGGTTGCAATACTTACCGGTACATCTTTCTCCAGGACATCATTTCCAAGAAACTAAAAAGGATAGCAATCAAACAAACAAAGCAAGCAAACTCAGCAAACTTTATCGAATCCATACGACTATCTGAAATAGAAACCGCCCTAAAAGTACTTATCACCAATACCATAGGTCACTCTCAAATATCATCAAACATACTCTCAGCTTTCTCGCTTGGAAACCCACTTCATACCCACAGCAGCCTCATTATACGTTCAACATCATTCATCCGAATCAACTTATACTTTTCCCCTTCACAAAAAAATATCTCATATATACTTCTCAAACAAACCATCTACTTTGCTGGCTATAGTTTCATCCATTCGATTCATCCTTTGAACGCTACACTCGGAGGAAAACGCCAATCCGAGAACACAAGAGAAAACTCGATCGATCTCATCTTGCATCTATCAGAGTACCCTTGACTCTTTTCTCTCATACTATTCACTATATATAAAGGCTCGCCGTGACCGCTAGTTTGGAGAGGACTTTTGTTTTTTGGGATTTTCCTTCATATTCAATACTGCGATAACAATCTTTGCACACTATTCACCATCACACATCTTCGCTTGGGAAATTAAACACACAGAAAGTTCGGATTTTCGTCTCAATACATTAACTTCGAAGCTTGGAGTTCACTTTCACAATTCTTGGCTCCGATTAGAATTTGATCTAGTGAATATTTTCCATCTTTGAGAGTTCAGCCGAAGTCCTTGTCTGGTTTCTCAACTTTGCTTCACAGTTTCTATTTGCTCTCCCCCTACTTCTTGAACAACAAGCTCAACAACAAACCTCAGTTCTCCAATTTGGAAAACTTCTTCCATTCTTCTGCACTTCTGGTCGTTGCTAGCTCAGCAGATTCTCCGCACCCAATCAGTATGTATGGCTTCCGTTATCACAGCTCTATTCTTCGAACTGTCGTTGCAGATGAATACTGATATCTTTTTCAGTCATAGAATTTCTTCAAATCCATCACCAAAGCTCAACACACACTTAACGCAATGGCTGTTCCCACATATTGCAGTCATTCTTTCAATGTTCTCAAGTCAGAATCTACACTCATCCAGTGGATTTGCTCGATGTGTCATTCTGGACCTCATTGGTTCATCTACGAGTGTAAATATTGCAAACTCAAGACCTGTCGTAATTGCTCAATGAAGGCATAACCTTGTCTCACATACTGTTACCGCATTGAGCATCTCGTCGCTGTCTGGAACTTTCTCATGGAATCTTACTATGGTTCTTGGTGGGGTGTGGGGGAAGCAGTTGGAAAATGATCCTTTGGTAAGTCTTCCTGGTTTTCCTCGTTTTCCCAGTTTTTCTCTCGTTCTTGCCATGTGGCGGGATAAGATTGTGTCATCTCTATCACATCACAAAATAAACTGTTACCAAACATCAGTTGAATTTGTGGAAGATGTTGAGTGCGGTGAAGGAAATTTTCTATGCCTAGTCGTTTGATATCAGAAAAAAGTTATTAATGACAGCCACTAACAACCTGGGTGATAGGATCCGAAAATGTCTCAAATCTATTCTGTTCCCGTGTTGCGATTTGCCCCCCAGAAATCAAATATGACGAGAATGTGGCCACCTGCATGAAATCCATGCAGGGACACCATAAGCGTGCCAATTTGTTACTATTGGCCAACCACAGACATCCATTTCTTTACATTGTTCTCCCTTTCTCGAACATCACGGAAATTTATAACCGAATCTCCTTATTGTAACAACGGTTGTTGTCGATGAGTCTACGATGGCGATTACTTGATACAGATAACTGCACTGATACGACTACGACTTCTCCGACTTTTCAATTTCATCTCTTTTTTGCACGTTCACGAATTTCATTGCTCATTTCGCATTGCTTTACCGATACCGACTACTACGATTAGGTATTCTGTACCACTCCTTTTTGCACCATCAAACTTCACGAAATCAGAATAGATTGGCTACCGCTCTCCAAGTCACAAATTGGCGAGACGTTTAATGCAAACTGCCGGTACCTAGGCTGACAGCGACATTGTATTCTACCTTCAAGAGCTTTACCGACATCGGTACGCACACGACATTCTAACAAACAATACCAAAAAAATCTGTCCTGTACCACAATATCTTGTTTCAAAACGATTCTTGCTCTTCGTATCCATTTTGTTCTAGACCGGTCTATCTTCTCCTACAAGTTTCATTTGGTTCGCTTCTTTTCTTATTCAACTTCAGTTTTTGTTTACGTTATACTCTGGTTTGCAATCTGTTCGCTCTACTTTTCATGTATTTCTGGCTCTACTCTATTTGATGTGGTGGTGTAAGGGTATGGATGGATGGGGATAGGGTTGGTTGGTTGGCTGGTTTGTTCCGGAGGTGTTCGTGGTGTCTAAGTGTATGTGTGTTTCCGGCGAGAGGGGTGGCTTTTGTGAGAATTGCGATCGCAAGAAATTTGGGATGGGTGGTTGCCTGTTTGCTTGTCTTTACTTTTGCCATTCTTTCCCCTTGTTCATTACTCAATCGATGATGGTATTGGAATGAACCAGCGGGCTGATTGTTTTACTATGCGGTAGCCTGGTGTTTGCTACTCGGCGTGCGCAAAATGGTTAGATGAATTGTTCTCCAGTCTTTATGTTTTCATTGTAGTTAACACTGATAGTATTAATGATACCAATTGACATTTACGTGATTGCTTATCTTGGCTATAGTCTTGGCTATGTATATGTCTGGTCGGTGAAGCGATCAATCTTTGCTTCTTGTTCAACTTGCTCAATTATTGAATTCAACTTGGCATCCGCATTCGCATTCGCGAAGATACTACGCTGCGCTACAACAGTGTTACTAGAAGGCTCTGGAATGCCTCGAAATAATTTGTGCGTGCGGGTGGAAGTTTAATTCTGCCTTCTTTCAGTGGAGATCGATGATGAGATGGAATGGGCGGCGCGAAGTGAGTTACAGTGACACCCGGTACCGGCTCGCTAACATTTTTCAGATCATGCGATGGGAGGAGGGGGAGGAGAATATCACTCTATTATTCTTTTCTTGAGTACTTATTCTGACACAGCGTTGTTCAACTATAGTGGAATTCATGTTGATATATCCCACAGATTATCCTCAATGAACATATATTACGCCAGACTAATCATTACCCAAATCCCATCTTCTCCAACCACCGTCACTCAATCACACGCTTACGCTTCCATCACACTAGCCCTCTCACCACCAATGCACATACCCGAGAACACGCTTATCTTCTTTCCTTCCCTCCATCTTCCATTCCTCTCCTTTCCCTTCCTTTCCTCCCCAAACCCCATATCGCACCACATCCTCACACCACATATCTCCACCGCTAGCCCTACCCAAATTAACCTCCAAAACACCATCGCCAATGTCCGTATCCCCTATGCATATTCGCACTCGCCTATTGGCAGTATCGTATCCATATTATGCAGTTCGTTCATTCATGTTGTGTAAGGGGTTGCGGGACGGATTTTCTGCAGCGCGTGTTACGTTGTTTCGTGTGCGATGAGTGGTTTATGACTTGATGAATGAGAATAGGTTGTGCTACAAGATTTGATGGTTTTTATTGATTTTTCTTTTGTTTTTCTTATGCGTGAGAACATGCCATTCCTGTGCCCTCTTAAGGAAACTGATCAGTAGTTTAATTTCCGCACCCGAGTTCCAGCACACTTACCATTCTCTGTTTTCCCTACCCATTGCACTCCTAAAGGTTTCTCGGATTATCAATCAAACAGCTATACCTATGTACACCCAAATGAACATTTCGTACCCTTCTTAATAACCACACAAACTTTCACTGCCGAGCAAGCACTGTGTCTAAGTACACAATAACGTACTCATTTAATATATTTCGTACATCCTGTCACAGCCTAATCTATGCCCTATCCATCTATCTATCTATCTATCCATCTATCTATCCATTCATTCATTCATTCCTTCATCGCTGATCAATCATCGCAAACCCTCCATCCATCCATCCACCCACCACGCATCATCCATAAACTCCATTCTCCCTACACATGTACACATACCGATACCCATACCCATATTCAAACATAAACACAAACACTCTCACAATATATGCAACTCATCTCCCACCTACCCATCCGTCCATCCATCCATCCATCCATCCATCCCATCCATCCACCCATCCATACAAACCCAACCCCAAGCCCTCTCCTCTCCTCTCCTCTTCCCACCCGCCACACCAACAATCAACATCATTCATTTCATTTCACATCCCAGAAACAAAAATCATCCAACTAGGTACGTACGTATTCTTCCTTCCTTTTCCAAAGAGTGATACATGTATACATATATACAAGTGTGATATCCATATGAAAACAAGATCGAGATGTGGAAATGGCAAGTAAACAAGCAAGTAAACAAGCAAGTAAACAAGCAAGTAAACAAGCAAGTAAACAAGCAAGTAAACAAGCAAGTAAACAAGCAAGTAAACAAGCAAGTAAACAAGCAAGTAAACAAGCAAGTAAACAAGCAAGATCATACTATTCATAATTCATAATACTACCTACCTATCTATCTATCCCTAAAATATCAAACCCACACACCCACATATCATATCATATCTCCATACAAACTATACAAACCAAATATCAGAAATCCACGCATACCATCTTAAATACCTATCTATACCCACATAAAAAAACAAAATAAACAAAACACCCCAAATAATCTCCACCACATTTCACACCCCCCACCCACCCACCCTACCTACCTACCTACTCCCCTCCCCATTCCATTCCCGTTCCGATATCGATTCATCTCTCGACGATCAATCATCTGAACACTACGAAATTTAAGTAGTTTACATTATTTTCTATCTCCAAACTCATAGATATGATATCATTTCATTCATTCATTCCATGTTTCTAGAATATGAGTCTTTTCTTCTCCTTCTCACAATACAATATAGTATAGTAAAGTATAGTGATATTTTGACTGTGGGCTCAAACAAAGTAGAAAAAAATAGTTATAGGAGTTAGGATAATAGGAAATGAGGAATGGTTAGAAGATACTCGTTAATACTCGTTCTATTACTCATACTCATCCCTAACCAACCTCATATCAACCTCAATCTCAATCTCAGGTACCGTCTCGATGATAAAAACAAACAAACAATAAAATCACATTCTCCCCAATTATCAACAGAATTCCCCAATTCGGTGGGGTTCTTCAAGAGAAACCTACACTCCTTTACTCCCTACTCCCTCAAGATATTCATCCCAATTCAAAACTCCCAAGCTAGTATATATCGTACCCCATACGAAAACCCAAATCATAAAACACCTCTTAAAGCTTCCTCATAAGATCCTGAATGAAATACACTCACTGTACTGCACTGCACTGTACTGCACTGCACTGTACTGCACTCACTGCACATCATCCTCCAATCAATATTATTCATATATTCAAAAAGATCTATATAATCCAACCGAGAAAAATGCATCATATAGCTTCTCTCCTCGACTCTATTTACAGGTTTGGGATGGAGAGCAGAAGATGTGTGTGTGTGTGGATCTTGAGAAGATGCAAGGAGGAATATGAAAATGTAATGTAGGTAGCGTTTTGAAGATGGCTGCGAACTGGCAGTGAACTAGAAATTGTGCTGTACAGTGTAGAGTTCACTTAAACACGCTGTTACATGGTGAGTTTTCGAATAAAAGAGTTTTGTCTCTGCATCTGTCGAGAGTCTCCATATATAAAAACGACACCACGAACGTGCCTTCATCCTACTCTGCAGCGGCAAAACTGGAAGTACGCGTATCAACAAAATAAAGAAGGGGGCCTGTGGAAGGTTTGTAATTTTGATTGTATTTTAATATCTTTCAACATCCCTGGGTATCTTATCACGTCCATCGAATCCCCTCTTTCCAACAAACAGTTTCCCCTTCGCGCGTATGAACATCCCAACTCCCCAACCCATCGCTAAATGTATGCATTACAATTTCGCAGTAGTAGAGACAAAAGAAATATGATATATACAACAGCAATCTATTCCAACCCACCTTTTCATCCCCGGTAAAACGAGACATATATCCCCAATCATCTTATCGTATGGGTGATTCCATCCATAACTCTTCTTGATTGGCTATCATCATCTCTTTAACCCACGAATCCGTCTGCCTCTTATCACTCATTTCAAACACAGCCGTACGTCTATTCGTAGGACTTCGATAAACTCTTTCGACGCTCTCTGGATAAAGGGTGGAAGGACCTCTATCCGCAAAATTCTGATTCACTCCAATTGCCTCCAGAGAATAGTTTGGTGGAAGGCTATTCGCAGAATTCTGATCTGCTCCAATTGCCCCCGAGAAATAGTTTGGTGGGAATGTATTTGTAAAAATTTGATTCACTCCAACTGCTCCTGGAAAATAGTTCGGGGTATATCGATTCGAAGGATTTCGATAAGCACTATCGGCGCTCTCTGGATAAGAATTTGGTAGTCTATTAGCTGGAGTTTGGAAAGTACCATCTGCCGTTTCTAGATGAAAGCCCGGCGGACATCCGATCGTAGAAGTTCGATTCGTGCCAGCTGCCTCTGGATAAAAGTAAGGAGCTTGAATATCCCGGGGCGGCTGATGATACACCTGAAATTGATTCTGATATTGGGTTTGAAACTGATGCGATGGTGCTTGATGATTATATTGAAATTGTCCATGAGCAGCCTGTCGGCGTCGTCTCCACCATTTGAACACGGGGACACAAGCAATAATCAGAAGAACCAATGCGATACCGACTCCTATTCCGACTCCTATAGCAATGTTGAGAGAGTTGTAGTCTGTTGTTGCATGTTGGCCGGACCCGGTTGGCGATGAAGTTGTAGATTGTGTATTCGATACAGTGGTTTCTATCGTACTTGTTTGCACTATACTATCGGCTGCTAATGTAATCGACGGCGAAGTAGAAGTTGTTGTATCCATGTTGAGAAATGGCCTTCAAGACGGCCGTGTATAAGAGTGGAATATATATAGAGAAAGTGACGGCCAAATTCTAAGCAGTGAGAAAAGACAAAGGAAAGCAAAGAACGATTCAAGGTTCCAAAGTCATTAAATTGTATGAACCAATTTCATACGCGCGAAGAGCTACTTAGAACTGCGATTATAGATTATGTTGAGGTCGTTGACCAGAATCCATTCAAACGGCGCGTAGTGATGGGTTTGTTCCTGCCATCATTACAAGAGTGGAGAATGGAGGCATGAAATACATTATCAGATAGACAAGGCCGATACAAATAATGCCTTGATTGTTGGAGGCAATGCCTTATGGAAGGCCTGCCGGCAGATTTTCCTTGCCAACAGGATTCATAAATAGATAAGGCTGATTACATTTCATCGTCCTTATCCTCATTCAAGTGTGAACTCTGAACTTGAATCTTTACTCACTTGAGTGGAGACTTCGAGGCAACTCATTGATGGAATGGGTCTGGACTCAAATGGAGAGTTCTCAATGGCTGTAGCATACGAATGGTCGAATTCGAGGTGAGCTTTGTACGTAGGATCCCAGGGCACGATGTGTAGTAGAACTTTGGCTTTTCTTTGAATTAACCTTGCCGCAGAAGTGAGCTATCTAGAGCTCGGACCTCTTGAAGGTCTCTCCCTTGTTGAAAATAGAAGGAATTAGACGGAAAGTGGAGCACATCCAGTACATTTTACCCGCGCGCATCACAGGATGAGAGTGAAGACTTAAAAATGAACCATATACAGTAGCGAGTGTTTCAGAACAAAAGCCAAAAGTGGCGTTGATAGGAAACATGATAGATTGAGTACCATTATGGAGTAGTTTGTGGAGATCAGGTTTAAGTTATTGGATCAGTATAGAAATGATCACGTGATCCCACTTTCCAATTCATCCGTCGACCCCAGCTTGTCCTTCGGCCTATAGCCTATAGGATCTGAAACTGAAGCGAAGAAGGAGGATGTACTGACAGCTTAATACTTGTGATGGTGCTCTGATCGGTGAGTGTCGATCAGCTGTGAGCGCGCGTGTGTAGCTGAATGCCTGCTGTCTCAATGTTTAGCGAAAATGTCATTCAGTTGCTATAAGTCACATACAAGTATGTGATCATCCGCAAAGTTAAAGTCTGGCTTACATCAACAATAGTCAATTTATTGAAGTTGGGCCAGCCAGAAACTTCGCTAAAAGTGTTCTACAGAGCGCCTTCCAGAATCTCTACAAGAGCTCTTATGTCACCGAGTTCCCTTCATGGTATATGGTGCTTGGAATAAGTCGGCTGGCCTTCAAGCTCGTTTCCCTGTCACTCGGCAAATACCTTACGTTCCAGCTCAGCAAAATGCCCTTCATTCAATGCGATGGATCACATTTATCCTTAGTTGGAAGAAGCAGCTGTAGTGAAAATTAATGAATGCCGTGGTGCAGAGCCGTTTAAATCCCGGGGTATTTGTAAACAACAAGCAATAAACTCCTCTATCCCCCAACCTCCAAGCTCAAATTTAAGCTCTTAATATATACCTTCCATCAATCTGTCAGCGATTCCCTCCATTCTTTTATCGCCGCCCAACACCCTTCTTTCCGTCTCACGATCACGCCCATCCTCTCCGATGATGACACATTTGACGACTTCCCCATTCATTCCTACAACGCATCTACCGACCTTGCCATCTATCCACTCAATCCTCACTTGCTTTGCTTCTGCATCAGCAGCACTGATATCTGCGATCTCTCGCTCCTTTTCTTTTCCTTTGCTGCTTAATTTCTCATCCAAAGAGAACCCTTTTCGTAGATGCTTGATGGATGCCACACGCAAATGATAACCTGTAACCTCTCGTCGTAATTTCCGTACAAACGCAGTCAAATCTTGTCGTTTCTCTTTGATGATACCCTCAGCGACTTTAGGAGCAGGCAAATATTTCGCGGCCAGGCTAGCCAAAGGGATACATGGAGGCACTGTGTGCCGATGTATTCTCAGTGCTGCTGATCCAGAATATGGCTTATTTAACATGACATAATAAGGCCGAACAAATTTTCCAGAACTGCTGGCTTCAATTCGAATTCCCAATACATGCCCATTGTCTACAGCGTTCGGGTCCGGATCTTGAATTTGGAAGGATGTAATTGATGCGCATGCGCGATATAGATTCTCGAGATTATGGGTTGTTTGAGCTGCCGAAGTCGCAAGTAGTGGATCGGAGTCTGTGGGAGTAGTAAACTGGGGGGATTTCGTTTTGGAGGAAGACTTTCGTAAATTCGACAAAATGGATTTCGAAGCTTGAGAAGAGAGGATAGTAGCCGTTTGAAGGCGACGTTGATCTTTTAATGATGCAACTGTGGATTGATTAGCTATATGTCATGGTAGAATTGAGATGGGGCAATGTGATTCACTTTGTTCCTGTAGTGAAGCTATTTCATTATCTAATTCTATGCTAGCCGCGTCTTGAGGACTAATAATTTCTTCCGTTATGTCCATGTTTGAATTCGAATTGAAGCCCACGGATTGTGGGGAAGAGCGTGAACTTCTCATGATTGGTGGTGGAGGTATCAATGTGTAGGATAAGTTATCGGAAATATGTTTCTTTCCCACTCTGTGCTCGGGATGTTTGTTGATGTTTGGATGGTGATGGCGATGTTGATGGTGATGTTGATATTGATATTGATATTGATATTGATATTGATTTTCATGTTTGTCGCGTCGCATGCCATTTCATCGCCATTTCACGTGTTTCGTGGGGGATAGCATTGTTTGTTTTAGGCATTTGATTACCCTAAATTTATAGCCTAGACTTTTTCTTCCCAATCCCTATGGTTCTGATCTCAGATGTATTATGTCTCTCTGGGTAGTACGAGTAAGCAAAACACGGTTCCAGAGTAGATGGATAGATTCTCTTAAAAAGTAAGGGATATATATATATCTATTGATAGACTTTCACTCCCTCCTCTCCTTCTTTCCCATGCAACTCTTTGACATTCCCAAACCTTTTTCTCTTCGAATCCTTTGTACAGTCCCTCAGTCCCTCAGTCTCTCAGTCCCTCAGCGCCGTTGTTCGCCGAAGAAGCCACATTTCGTTTCAGAAGCAGCCTCGCACCCTCGTACCCTGAAAAATCGAGCCTTAAAGCCTGTGCCCATGGCTCTTTCGCCGCAGGAATGGGATCTTGAGTAATCAAATCAATCAAATCAATCAATCAATCAATCAATCAATCAATCCACTATCTCGTACAAACTACCACTAACGAAACTAAAGCTTCGAGTAAATTTAAAAGAGGACACTTTAGAGGCCAACAAGACCTCTGGAGTTTTCTCAATCCAAGTTACTATATGGATGCCTACTCCATTGGGTGATACACTTCCTTCATTACCTTCTCAATCTACTTCAGATAATCCACGTCATTCTCATCTACCTGTACATCACGATCCTCAATTTTCCTACGCGCAAGAACTAGACGATTTATCAACAGCTACTTCACGCCACAGAAACGTTTCCTCTTCTAAATCTAAATCTAAACCTCATTTGCATTTGGATTTGCACGGCGCAACACAGGCAGAAGACTCGAAACATTTACTCGGGGATCAAGATTCTACAGACGAAGACGAGGAAGAGGTTATTGAATCGGATTCTATGGGTACTCGCTCTCGTAAAGGCAAAGTTCCAGAGCCACTTGGCTCTTCCTCTGCCACAAGAGGTGAAGACTCTCAATCACAAAAGGGCAGTATGAATGGCAACGTCGAGTACCGCCGCAAAAATGCGAACCTCGACTCTCCTGGGGTGACTGCGAATCTCATGTCGCGCGAGTCTTTTACGTTAGATGATCCTATACCAAAGACTCCTACCCTCAACAACCATGGGTTTTCCGAATTGCCAATGCAGGACAAACGGAACTTTCTTCTTCTAGTCCTATTATATTTCTTGCAGGGTGTTCCAATGGGTCTCGCGACCGGCTCGGTACCTTTTCTACTCAAACCACACATGTCGTACAGCGCTTTGGGAGTTTTCAGCTTAGCTTCATATCCATACTCTTTGAAGCTCCTCTGGAGTCCAATAGTGGATGCAATATGGAGTCCTAAAGTAGGAAGAAGAAAGAGTTGGATCATGCCAATCCAAATGCTATCAGGATTAGGAATGATATGGCTAGGTTCTCAGATTAAGGAAATGATGATCACAGCTGGAGCAAATGATGGAGCAGGAATTTGGGGTTTCACTGGATGGTGGTTCTTTTTGGTATTTATGTGCGCCACACAAGACATCGCCGTCGATGGATGGGCTCTCACCTTATTGTCGCCGGGAAACATTTCATATGCATCGACCGCCCAGACCGTAGGATTGACAGCTGGACAATTCATGTCTTTCACAGTTTTCCTAGCTTTTAATGCCCCAGATTTCGCCAACAAATGGTTCCGAAAGACTCCCCTTGACGAAGGAGTTATGACTTTGGGAGGATACCTCACATTCTGGGGTTGGACATACATAATTGTTACTCTTGGCCTCGCGCTTTTGAAGCGTGAAGAGAAAACCAAGAACGAGGATGGAATCTGGGATGTTTACAAGGTTATGTGGGGAGTTCTCAAGCTCAAGAATATTCAAACGATCATCATTATCCACTTGATTGCGAAGATTGGTTTCCAAGCTAATGATGGAGTTACAAATCTCAAACTCATAGACAAAGGATTCAGTCAAGAAGATATGGCTTTGACAGTTCTTATTGACTTCCCCTTCGAGATTGGGTTGGGGTACTACGCCGGAAAATGGTCGACATCCTACACACCTTTACGCCTATGGTGTTGGGGGTTTGTCGGTCGTTTGATTGCTGCTGTTATTGCTCAAATCACGGTTGTTATCTTTCCCGCTAACGGAGTCGATACTTGGTATCTACTTGTCATTATTGCGGAACATATCTTCTCGACATTTACCAATACTGTTATGTTTGTGGCCATCTCAGCTTTCCATGCCAGGATTGCGGATCCCGTCATTGGTGGAACTTATATGACATTGCTCGCTACGTAAGCACCCCTATTTTCAATTTAAATTTTCATTTTACTAATAACAAACAGCGTTTCTAACTTGGGCGGTACATTCCCTCGTTTCTTTGTCCTTAAGCTTGTTGATTACTTCACCACTGCTACATGTATTCCACCAGGATCCGATTATAAACTCGCTGCTGATCTCAAGGGGCCTCTCATCACATCTACCTTCTCCTGCGCCTTGGCTGCCGAGAAAGATCGATGTTTATCTGGAGGGGGCATTTGTGACATCGAGAGAGATGGATACTATGTTGTGAATATTATTTGTATCATTTTTGGAGCTGTTACATTTTGGGGATACATCAAACCAGCAGCCCTGAAATTACAAGCGCTACCATTAAGAGCTTGGAGAATCAGCGAGGGCAGTAACTAATTGGTGCTAAGATAAGACGGGCGGCAAGAAATGCCATTATATGTAAAAGTTGTAGAATAGACATGTATTTTTGATCGACAATGAGAGGGATGATAGGCGGCAGCGAGAATGGTATCTATGAACAGCTATGCAAGTATGAAAATAGAAATGAACTTATTGATAGCGATGCTGTATCTACGTCCACATAATGAATACCTTGGATAGTCGACCAAAGGGGCTCTCTGATGATGTGAGATTTCGAGCTACTTGTTACACAAAGTATCGTGCTGCTGGTCACCTAGAGTGGTGGTATCTATACAGCTATTCCGACCATCCTAGACCCGCCTGTCAGCCGGAGCTGAGTAGGAAGGATCTGAGCGTCTCGAAGAAAATCTCTTGTGTCATGAGTTGTACCAATTTCTCCCTTCGACATACAAAGACATGAGACGTTGTGTTCGTAGACTTTAGACCGACTTTTGCAGATATCCAAAGTCCAATGACAATCACAGCTTCATCCACGCAAGCCTCCGCCAACGCCAAAGTTGCGTACGACGTCGGTATCGTCAGCTTTCCACAATTCATAGATTGTAGAAAGTTGGCTCTTTGGCTTTCAAAACTAGTATTGTACAATGTAGGGATGATCGATCTTCTTACGAAACAAAAAGGTAACATTCCCACATGGGTCCTCTATCCGGACGCCGGAATTACCAAAACAGACCTCCGATACAACCGGCGACCGAGGTCAAGAGGAAAGCCGGAGTTTCAAATATCTTGTAAGTCAGTATTATAAAGGTAAGTTGCTGGTCCGCATTCAAGAAGTTTATGAGTAGTTAATAGAATACTGATAAAATGTCGTCGCAGCTTACAACGCCTATTAGAGATGCTTTTGAACAGGGGCTGGCGAACCCCGCAACAACATCCCCAAAATTAATATCAACCCCACCATCAAGCTCGACCTTCACACTTTCCTTCAACCTCTCAAGTCCGCGACCTTCATCACCGACCTCCTCAATCTTTTCCTCTAGCTCACAAGATACCATGTCGACATCTAGCTCAATGCCAGTCTTGGCACGAGACAACACCGCGGAAATCGCGGAACGGGATTACTTTTCGGAGAATCCTCCACCAGCGACCCTTGAAAAGCATACCTCTCTTGCAGAAGAATTCATCAATTTCCACGCAGCTGCTGGCAGGCGTGTGGTATTGGTTACATCAGGAGGAACAACTGTCCCATTGGAGCGACAGACGGTGCGATTTATAGACAATTTTAGTGCAGGAACGCGAGGGGCTACTTCTGCCGAATATTTCCTGGAATCAGGCTACGCGGTTATCTTTCTCCATCGTCAATTCAGTCTTCAACCTTATTCGCGCCATTATAGTCATGCTACGGATTGTTTCCTCGATTTCCTTCACGAAGGACCTGATGGAAGCGTGGTCGCAAACGATGAATACCGCGAGAAGATGTTGAAGGTTCTTAGACAGTACAATGCGGCCAAGTCGAAGAATTTACTCTTGACGTTACCGTTTACGACAATTACAGATTACTTGTTCATCCTTCGAGAGATTGCGCAACTTATGCGCCCGTTGGGTCCTCGCGGGTTATTGTATTTGGCTGCCGCTGTGTCGGATTTCTTCGTGCCTCCACAACGTATGGCGGAACACAAAATACAATCTACAAATGCAACGGATACAAATACACCTGAAAATGGAAGTGAAGATAAGGGCAATGGAGAGGACGAGGAAGCTTTTGATAATTTCGATTCTTCTCCAGCGGTACCACGGAGCAAGCGTCTAATTGTCGATTTGGATCCTGTACCCAAGTTCCTCAAAAATCTTGTGGATGGCTGGGCTCCTGAAGGCATGATCGTTTCTTTCAAGCTAGAAACTGATCCCGCAATTCTGGTTCACAAGGCAAAATACTCCTTGGACCGCTACCAGCATCATTTAGTCATTGGAAATTTACTTGCTACCAGAAAATGGGAAGTTGTTTTCGTAGCGCCCGGTAGCAAAGATCAATGGATCAGAGTTCCCAGGACCAAGAGAAAGAGGACAATCAGTGGAGTTCAAGATCTAGTAGGTGCTGCAGCGAGGGGAGGGGATATTGGCGATGAGCCTCTTGATCCAAATGAGCTACCTGATGGGGAACCTGAGATTGAGATTGAAAGTTTGATTATTCCTGCCGTTGAAGCATTACACACATCTCATATCAACACCCCTAACAAACGGGAAAGGTAGAGATTAAACTTTGTTTTGTAAACAAACAACAAACGCATCCTCGTCACAGATGCCCTCTGTCACTTGGTATGACGATGAGAGGAGAAATGGTCACGTTAACTAGATGTACCAACCTCGTGGGACTGATTGGTGTTCCTACCATATCCAGGTAGGATGAACGTCTCACATTGGACATGGTGAACAACTGAGCTTACAAGCGAATTTCTTTTGCTGCTCGTATGCTTTAATAGGATGGCATGTCAAATACAATACTTATTTAACCATCTAGATCTACGTGTATACTTCCTTCAATTTGCAGGACGCCTCGAAGCCTTGTAGAATTATAATTGCCGTTGTCACATACTCTTCTTAGCTATGATCGTCAAACTGTACTGTGTAGGCCTCGGTAAAATCTTTCAATATATCTAGATCGGTTGGTTCATTTGTCAAAGCAAACGGCCATGCAGATCCGGGGAACGTGCCATGTTTAGTTCAATCATCCGCTTGTGACAATGCTGAGGGTAGCTAGCGAATAGTGTCATGCTGTGCACTTGTAAGAGGCTACAGGTTTGCGCCATGCTGATCAGACACGCCTCTCTAATGTATATCTTAAAGCCCCTCTGATTTTCGATTGCGGTGCACCTCGGTCTGAACGCGAAATCATCGTGCGATTTTTTGACACCCATCTGAATGGTGCCTGGAACAAACGATAGAGAAAGATTTTGTTTGTGTTGTTGGTAGAGTGGTGGAGTGGTGGAGTGGACAATATTGTGGGTATTATGTGGACGATGATGGATGGATGGATTGATATGTTTATTACTCATAGAATAAGAATAAGACATCCTTCATCTCTCTTGAATTTGGAATTTGGAATTTGGAATTGGGGATGGGGGATGAATGTGAACGAACTGTAAGTACCCAGTTATCGAGTAGGGACGGGGATGTGTGTTCTATTGAGGGGTCTATAATACTCTATACTCTATATATCCCGATCGATCGGAGAGTTTTGGTGGGCTAGTGTTGTTTATTGTATTTTGTAGATTAGTTTATATACTATTCGAGTAGGTAGGAGATTGGAGATTGGGTTGATATAATACTTGTTAGAGTGTTTTTAGATAGATGATCGTTGATTCGAAATGAAAATGACTAATATTGGTACTATTCATGTGTGAGAAATCCTTTGGTTGAGAAATTAGCTGGAGGCTGGTATGTATGGAGAGAGTCTAAAGTCCTAACACTATAGCTCGAAGAGCACATGCGGTGAACGAATCAGGTGTGTGTTGTTCCTGGATGAAGTGGGCGGTTGAACTGAATCGTCTATACTTTATACTTCAGAGCTCATCTGATATCATATCGGTAGCTGTCTAATACGCCAACCCAAAGGGGGAAGGAGAATGGCGTGTCTGAGTTTGATATGAGTAGAATACTGGAACAATCAGGAATGATTGCTAAACTATACTTACTGACTGCACAGCGAGAACGGATATACCATCAAATACTTTCCTTCAGATAGAGTTTTTCCTTGCTGTGTCTATCTTGTAACTAGCTCGTCTAGAAGGAATAAGAAAAAGGAATGTGGTGTAGTGCAGTGTGACTAGGAAAGGGTAGTATAGAAACTATTTTATAGTCACAAAGTGGTTCTCTTATATCTACCTAATCCTTTGGTAGTCGAGGTAGTGTCATTAATGGATCATCTGGGTGCGTTCCTTCCGGACAGGAAAGAGGCGCCTGCCAATAAACGTGTGCGATTCATGGTCTTGCCCCATTCGCAATTATTATTCCTGCAGCCGGGCGATTGGCGGCGTTGACAGAACAGATTAGCACACCAGATGCATGTCTCTACTCTACCCCTTCATCGTTAAATCTTGGAAGCCGAACTTTCATCGTTTTTCTTCTCATACTACTCACCACCCCTACCTAATAAATCGTTTGGTCCATCGTCTACCTAACTTTGGGAGATTTTCAACACAAATCTCTACATGTTTGCTTGGTGTTGCTAACTACATGAGAAAGGAAGAAAAGATTTTTGTTATCAAACACTGCTACGGTCATATTCCCTCACAATTTCTAAGACCCTTAGCACTTTATTCCTTGCAAACAATTCTCCGAATATCTCTTAAATCAAATTTCAAATCGGCTTTTCCCGCCTTGCTTGGTCCATCCATCATTGATTGACCCTTGCTGTCTATCGCCCAACCCCAACCCCACTGGCCACCCGGTTCTATATCAGTCGTTCCATATCTCAATCGATCCATCCAACCTTAGATATGTATGAGTGTCGATCGCAGAGCCAGAAACTGCCTTCGCGTTGAGAGAGAAGGGTTTTCAACAATGTTACCAGCATTGCGCGCCAGATCTCATCTTGACATGCAATACGAGGCTGCACCGCCTATCGAATACAATGACGATGATTATTTCCGCGAGGTGTTACAGTTGGACGGGCTAATACCGACGGAGATGCAATTCGACGAAAGATTGAACAAAGAGGCAGAAAATTTGGGAATTTCGATAACGGGTCCTTCCGCAGACGAAAGAATCGATAGTCCTCCATGCGAATCCCCTTTCAATCAATCGCATCACACACATACCACTTCGTCCTTATCTCAAGAAAGCGATTCTACAGGATTAACGTCGAGATCATCGGATGAACATTTGGACATTTCATCATTACCACAAGCATGGAAAAGACCTACGGCAAGGAGAAGTTTATCATTTCATGATTACGAGAAATTTGTAAAGCAGATCGATGCTCAAAATAAGCACCCATTACCTCCGCCGATACCTGTCAGTTCCCCGGAATCAGCGCCATCCCTTTTTTCGGTATCCTCGAAACGCTCTTATATCAGCATCAAGAATGGAATCAAAACCCGCTTCCGCCGCAAGCCCAAAACCTCTGGGGAACAAGTAATGTGAGTATATGTTCTCGAAGACAAAAAGCGAAAGGAAAAGTGCTAATTTTTTAGCTCTTGCATCTGTTGTCGGGAAGAGTTCAAGAATTCTAGCACGTTGCGTACACTTCCATGTGCTCACAATTATTGCGAAAAATGCCTTCGAGTTCTGGCCATCCAAGGCTGCAAGGAAGAATCGAAGATGCCACCCAGATGTTGCAGCCAAGCTATACCAGGAAACACAATCAAATCGGTCCTGGATAAAGAAGAACAGAGTTTATTCATGAAAAGCGTTGTTCAATTCAGTACACCATGGGAAGCCAGGATTTTCTGTCCAAATACTTCCTGCGGTGAGTTTATTCCGACACTTGGTAAAATTGATCCCAAGCAGCCGTTTGAGGTGGTTTGTCGAACTTGTGGAGAGAAAGCTTGTTCGATATGCAAGCGTGCGGCACATCCAGGTGGCCAAGATTGTCCTGAAGATTACGAATTAGAAGCTGTTTTGAGAATGGCAAAGAATGCGGGATGGCGTCGCTGTTACAAATGTAGAACTCTGGTAGAATTATCTCAAGGTTGTAGTCATATCACTTGCCGGTGTAAAGCCCAATTCTGTTACATTTGTGGGGCTGTGTGGGATCCATCGGTTGGCTGTCCAAATTATTGTAATGGCGAGGAAATGCTTGAACGTCGACGTCTCGAAGAAGAGCAGCGAATTGCAGAAGAGGAGAACGCAAAGTTAGCGAGGGAAGAAGCAGAGAAGTTAGAAGCAGAGGAACGTGCAGCGGCCGAAGAACGGACCAGAAAGAATGCCACACTGAACGCCCTTCGGGCTTGTCAGATCAATGAGAGAGACCGATTTTGCGCCTTCGAGAGAAAAATGAAGTGGATCATGTGGACGCGACACGGTCGAGCTAAAATTGATATTTTGGATCGCTACGGTGAGCTCTCAACAAAAATGAAAGAACGCCATCAAAGGACCTCGACGCATCTAGAAGATCGGCAAGTCGCTGCTGAGATGGAGCTGAGAGCCACTTTAAAGCAGAGCGAAAGAAGCGTGCAAATCCGTTTAAAGCATATGGAAGCTTACTGCAGTGGACTTGGTAGAAGTTCTGGTGGTTATGATGTACAAAGAATCGTTACCGAGAAAGATCTTAGAGAGCTTGGGCAGCAATACAATATTCGGGACGACTTGGGCCGTTTACATCAGAGCAGGATTAACGTCATGCGGGACAAGCAAGCGAAACAAATGGAAAACTTAATCATTCGTCAAGACGAAGAACTTAAAAATCTAATGGTCAAACAGAATCAAGAGTTAGAGGCTCTAGAGGAGATGCATAGCAGAGAAGAAGAAGGAATAATGACGCTGTTCATAGAAAGAAAATCACGACTCACGCGGAGATGGTACTTAGTCGAAGAGGTAGAACGAAAGAAGCTCACTAATGCAGAGGGCGTGCAATTCGCAGCCATGCCACCGATACCATGGCCTCAATCAATGAAGTCTCCAGCTCTCGGCCTGGAAGCTGTTTTTGAGTGAAGCTTCATGAATTTTAGAAGCTTCCATCTTTTGTTTTCTTATCACAACAATTTTTGTGGCATTATTACACTTTCTCGACATATATGTACGATTATTGTGAAGGTTGTGTGATTTGAATCATCTCATCTTGTTCAAAATTCAGGGACTGAGCATTGGCGCTTAGGAATGGATGAAAGAACTTTAATATAATGGTCCCGGCTGGATTAACTAATGGGTGGAATTGACGCTTTTAGGCCGTTGACCTCTTAGGATTTTTCGTTGGCTGGATTATCGGGAAAGGTTATTTGGAGGGTTATTTGGGTCTGGAGACTGTGAGGGATGTTTATTATGAATTTATTTTATGGTGTCCCATGATTTTGGGAGTGATGGATGATATGGATGATGAATGTGTATGGTTGCGATGAATAGGAGTATATATACCCAATGGTTTTTATCTTTGTCTTTTTAATTACGATGTTAGAAATTTTATATATCGATTATATTACAGTGTGGCTCTTGATGTGATGATGAGGAGGGTGGTGAGTGGTGAGCCTTTCTTTTGGGTTGGGTTTGTTAGTGTGTATGCAAGTATCGTAGAAGTATAGAGAATGGAGAGGAGAAGAGAGGAATCTTTTTCGAGATTTGGTTACTGGGTTGGGTTGGCTAGGTACTGTGTGTTGCTATCTAGGTAGTAGGTACCTATCACCTAGCTTCAAGATGTGAAGTGTGATGTTGAGGTGGAGATGTGGAATTGAATATTCATTTAGATAGATAGGTGGGTAGGTGGGTAGGTAGGTAGATAGGTAGGTAGGTAGGGAGGTAGATAGGTATTTATTTGTAGGTAGGTATTTATTTTGGGATTATGATGATGGGTTGTAATGGATTGTAATGATGGATTGTAATGATGGATTGTAATGATGGATTGTAATGATGGGTTGTAATAGTTTGTAGGTGATCAATGAGAGCGAGAGTGAGAGTGAGAGCTGGAGGGAAGTGGGAATGGGGATGGGAATGGGAATCAATGGGAATGTTCCGGTTGAACTTGCCTGCTTGCCTATGGTCCGGGTCTGTGTCTGGGGTAGGGGGTAGCGGGGTTGAGAGGGTGTGTGTCGTGTGTGGCGTGTGTGGGGTTGGGGCTTGAGTCTTGAGTCTTGGTAGGTTAGGGGGTTAAGGTTACCTCGGGTTGGATCTTTATTTGTCATTCGGGGAAGGGGCTTGTGGGTTGTTGGTTGGGGGTAGAGGTTTGGCAGGGATGAAATGGTGAGGGTGCTGAGGGGTGCTGAGGGGTGCTGGGGATGCTAGGGGATGCTAGGGGATGCTACTGCTGAGGAGTTTTTGTATATAGGTTGGGGGGTGGGAACTTTTGGGGGATTGGATTTGGAGGTTTGTGGAAGTAAATGTGGTTTTACTTGTGTATCTATGTGTATCTATGTGTATTTATGTATTGAGTGAGGATTTTGAGATTTTTGGAATGGAGATTGAGAGATTAGATATTTTAAAGAACTAACTATAAGGAATTAGATTAATTAGGAATTTGCAAGGGGATGAATGGAATGGGATTATTGGAGTAAGGATTTGGTGAAATTTTGATCTTGATCTTGATATTGATAAGTACTAAAGGAAGTCTGAAAGTTTGGACAGGAGGGTGATAGGTTCAGGAGATTATTTTCTATTCTAGGGATTCTCTTCAACTAGGGTGTTCGCACTGCTTACAGTAGGGAAGGATAGTAGAGAAAGATTCTCGGGTTTGCGTTGATTCGACATCTTCACTCATCTCGACGAGGTTGTTATCTCAATTATTGATCGGGGGTTTACTGGAAAGTCGGGTGAGAAGTCGAATATATCTCGGAGAGAAGATAAGATGTCGGATTTCTATGAAGAGATCGAAATTCCAGAGATGGATCTCTGGAGTATATTGTTTGAACGGGAGGATAAACCATTTTCGGATGATCAAGGTATTTCCTCTCTTCTTCCATTACTTTTCCAAAACCTGAAAAATGAAGAGAAAACTAATAAATACACTTTAGTCCTCTACGCCTCCTCCACCTCTTCACACACCTACTCCTCTATCAAATCCCAAACCATCTCTTTTGGCCTCGGTCTTCGCCACCATTACTCCTTTGAGAAAGGCGATGTCCTGGCTCTTTTCTCGGAAAATAATATCGATACTCCTATTACTATGTGGGGAACGCATTATGTAGGTGGGATAGTCAGTCCTGCAAATCCGGTATATACGAAACGGGAATTGACGCATCACTTGAGAGATTGTGGGGCGAAGATTATTGTCACGACGGGGGAATTGGTGGGGAGGGTAAGGGAATGCGTGGATAATATTGCGAAGGAAACTGGGAGGTGTATTGAGATATTGGTGCAAGGTGGTGAGGTTCCTGAAGGGGAAAGGGAGATTCGGGATATTTTTATGAAGGATGAGGGGAGAGGTGAGAAGAGGGTTAAGGTAGACCCTGAGAAGGATTTGGCGTACTTGGTGTATAGTTCTGGAACGACGGGATTGCCAAAGGGGGTAATGTTGACTCATAGGAATGTGGTGGCGAATTTGATGCAAGTAGCTTCGAGGGAGGGGAAGTTGATGAGATGGGATCGTGATCGAATTTTGAGTGTTTTGCCATTTTTTCACGCGTATGGTATGTTGTCTTTTGTCTCTTCAATTTTGTTTCTATTATTTGTTGCACGCAATGAGCATTTTTCTCGGCTGGTCTAACAGTCACAGGTCTTCAATGTCTCGTCCATCTTCCCTGCTATCTCGGAATTCCTACCATAGTCATGAAATCTTTCTCTCTTCCCACCTTCCTTTCTTTGATTCAAGAATTCAAAATCACATACACATACGTCGCACCGCCGATAGTCTTACATCTAGCGAAAAGTCCAATGGTGGAAGAATATGATATCAGTAGCTTAGGAAATATTGTAGCAGGTGCTGCACCGTTGAGTAGAGAGTTGATTCACATGGTGAAAGAGAGACTGGGAGTTGGGGTACGGCAAGCGTATGGGTTAAGTGAGACGAGTCCGGTGACTCATATACAGGTACGATGAGATTTTGACATGAACAATCAAAGCTTGCTAACGCTTTGAAAAAGCTCGAATATGATAATGGTCTCGGATCGGTGGGACCACCCTTGGCAAATCAAATTGTCAAATTCATGTCGCCGTCGAATATTGAAGTGCCTGTGGGTGAAGAGGGAGAAATTTGGATTTCGGGCCCCAATGTGTTTTTGGGTTATCATAATAATCCGGATGCTACTTCTACGGCTTTGGTTGCTTCTTCTCCCTCTTTGAAATCAAAATATCCGTTCTTCAAAACGGGGGATATAGGATTTCAAGATGCACACGGAAATATGTACATAACAGATCGTGTCAAAGAGTTGATCAAGCATAAGGGATATCAGGTTGCGCCAGCAGAGTTGGAAGGGGTGTTAGTTGAACATGAGTGGGTGGAAGATTGTTGTGTTGTCGGAGTTTTTGATAAAGAGCGGGAAACGGAGGTTCCGGTTGGATTTTTGGTTGGGAAGGGGAGTGTGGGAAAGGAAGATAGGAAAGTGTATGGAGAAAGAGAAGGGAGGGAGGTTGAGAAGTGGTTAGGGGGTAAAGTGGCGGATTATAAGAGATTAAGAGGGGGAGTGAGATGGGTGGAGAGTATTCCGAAAAGTGCTAGTGGAAAGATCTTGAGGAGAGTTTTTAAAGATCAGATTAAGAAGGAAGGGGAGGGTAAGATTGCAAAACTGTAGTTTTGATAACTTAAGACGGGAAAGACCTTTTATTTTCGGAGAAGGTGATTGAGTTAGCGGATATCGATTGTTTGATTGTCATTTTCACAGCAGTGCCGAATATTCTAATGTGATTTGAGCCGTAAAGATTCAAGATCTGAAATGATATCGAATGTTAGAAATCACTATGGAAAGAAAGCCAGACGATGTGAAATCGTATTGAACCCGTCGTTAGTTTCCATGATATACAACGGAGATAACTTTCCAAAGGAGGTATATGTCGTCGCTCAGGTTGCGAATGAGTGATTCCAATGTCTGAACACCACTACACATGTCCTTCAAGTGCTTATCATTGCTTGTTCAATCTGGCACAGGTAGTCCCCTGGAAATAAGTGATATAGATCGAAGAGAGTTGAGACCAAGAATGTAGGTAAATGCAATAGGAGTTGAACATTTGGCCAGTGCTGTGTGTCCTGTTGATAATTTTGCCATTAGTATGAAGGAGTCTCGAGGGAGTCTAAGATTAATAATCCCTCAACATATCATTAGCGAAAGCTTGTGGCTCTGGGGTACAGTGGTTTCGTGGGATTTCCCCACAGCAGCTCCGCGCCTGGACCTCTAAATTCATGGAAGCTCTCCACCTGCCATCTCTCCCACATTTCATGGGAAGCAAACCCTATGCGACGAGAAACATCTATGATTCACATCAAACAGTAATCATTTCGAAATGAATAATGACGGGTGGCACGCTTCCATAACTGAGACCACGCCACATTCGTGCAGCGCGTGAGGCTGTGTCTTACATGTGCGAACGCCGTATAATAGACAATATGTTGAACTTGATGTCCTCATCAAATTGTAGGAAAATGCTATTATCTATCAAGCAATATGAGTGAGTTATGAAATTATGATAAAGTAATAAATATTTAACAATGTCTATGCGCAGATAACATTCGTCTCGAAGCTCGAAGCGCGAGAATTGCAACAGAGCGCGATCAAACTCCTAGCTGGAATCCTTTCCTAAGAGGTAGAAGATGGGCCGACAATGGCTTCGATATGAGTCGTCATGGAAGGAAGGATGAGGAATCTGGAAGAGCAGAAAGCGACACACATGCTATAACTTCACGCTTGGAACCAGCTCATAAACTCTCGGATTCAGAAATCGCTAAGCTTCGCCCTGGTATTGAGTCTTTATTCGCCATAACAACCTTAGATGAGAAGCCTATGCGTCCATTGTCCACTGGTAACTTAGGTACTGAGGGGCCTGCGAGCTCTAGTCTCGGAGAGCATCACCGGTATCGTTTTTCACGCCCCTCTTCCAGCCCCGAAGACAAACCAAACTGTGAAATTGGCAAAGCAAACGAATATGCGAGAAAGCGCACATCACCATATGAAAATTTGATCAAACAAATAGTTGCAATTTTCTGCTCATCATGGTTGTCGCTTCTTCTCCCATTTGTGCCCGCAGGATTTGCTGCAAATTATACTGACTTACCACCGGTCGTCAATTTCATACTGAACTTCATAGCTATCTTTCCAAGTGCTTCTATTGTCGAAATGGCTATGGATGAAGTAATGTTACGTTTTGGAAATACTGTGGGAGGATTAATCTACATGACTTTTGGAAACATCGTACAACTCGTGACCTCGATTCTTCTTCTCAAGACTCGACAGGTTGAGATTTTGAAAACTTCACTAGTCGGGGGAATTCTTGGTGGAGTTCTTTTGATAATGGGCGCGAGTTATTTCGCAGGTGGCATTGATCGATTAGAGCAGTCTTTCA